TTCCTGAAAGGGTCGTGTTAACACTTTTTGGGACATTTGCACTTCAGAAATCCTCACTGACTTGGAGAACACACACACACACACACACACACACACACACACTTAAGTCTGGACAGAAAAGTCTGATGTAGGTCAGCGATGAATTTTTAAGACTGTTTTCAGTTTCTCCATTAAAACTGAGGACAAACTGCTGTTTCTGAACAGCTCGACCAGTGAACGGTGGTTATTATGGAGTTTATTTATATTTAATGTCAATTTAACAAGTGGAATTAAACAGATTTAAGAGAACAGATTATTTCGTTTTAATTTTTAATTTAATTTGTATTTTTTATTTGTATTTTTTTCTAAATCCATTTCCACCTTAAGCCTGTTTTTCCTGGAATTATGACTCACTGCTTACATTATCGCACAGTTTTATCATAAATGAAACATTTCCAAATCTTTTCAAACTACATTACTAGTTGTTTTTGTTTTTTTCCCATTAATAACTAGGTCAAGGGTATGAAATAAGAACTCAAGGTACCACTTTGGAAACTGCAGGATTTGTGGCTTTGCAGTACTTCTGAGAATACTCAGTCCCTCACAGTAAAAAATATAGTTTTAACTAATTATTCAATGTGTTAACGATGTTAATAAACTTGTTTAATATGATTAATTTTAGTATAAAAATATATAAAAATAATTATATAAAAATATATAGAATTTTCTTGACATTTTTCCATCGTTTGGACTCGTTCCAAATAAAAATGTGTGAATCACAGACATCGACCTGAACTTATTGGTTTTTCTGTATTTTTTCTTGGGTCATATTTAGAAATGTTGATTCATTGGAATTAATGACGCTCTTAAATATTCATTAATAATTATCAATAATCATGATTAGTCATGATTAATCAAAAAAAGCGCCTCCCTGTGAAAAATTATATTAATAATGTTTGACAGCCGTAGTAAATATATCTGTTGAAATAATTGGGGAGTCATCAGCGTGGAGTAGAGCCAGAGTGCAGAAACTGCTGCTCAATGTCCATGACCTTTAAACTCTTATGGATTCACATAAGAAAATGCCACTCTACAGTGATGGAAAAGACACATTTGTCTTCTTACCTGTCCTCAGTCCCCAAAGACAACAACGGTCCATGTTTGTTTCCTGCTAAAAATGTTTCCATCCACTCAACATCTCCTGTAGTAGAAGACACTCAGACGGTAGAATGGGAAAATAGTCAAATAACTTTTGATGATAAAACAGTGAAATTAAATTAAATAGAACTTTGAAACTTCCGTTCCAATCTTACTTTAAACCTTCCTGTCAGTCCTTTTCTTCAACATGACAGGGCATCTCAGTTAGTTATCTGATGTCTGGATTTGCCGATGACAATTAATTTAAAAATGATGCAGTAACACAGAGGCTGGGAGACAGATTGAAAATGACAGAGGAAACCGCAAAACTTTTCAAGTTAACAGGCCACAAATCGATGAGGGCTCAGAACGGCATCTGTGAGCAGAAGATTATTCCTGAAAGCATGTCATTTACCCTTGAACTGGGTGGACAGCAGCAGCAGCAGCAGCAGCAGCAGCAGCAGCTATCTACTCTAGTCAGCAAAGAGAAACAAAACAACAAAATGGAGTCATGTGAGTCATCAGCAGAGCTAAATGATACAGGAACAACAGAACAGTCGGAGGAATCCGCCTTTGTCTCCTGAACAGCTGCAGCCAATGTTACTGAAATGAGTTTAAAAGGGCCAGAATGATTTACTACATTAGCTCCTGTCTAATTATTCGGTATTCAATATATATATATTGAATATCAACATATATAAACATATATAAATACATGTATATATGTTATATTTGTATATACATACATATGTGTGTATTCTGTGTAGAATGACAAATAACATCAGGCCAATATATATTGAATATAAATATATATACATATATGTATATATGTGTATATATATTTATATATGTGTATATATATATATATATATATATACATATGTATCTATGTATCTATGTAAATGTGGGTGTGTATTCTGTGTAGAATGACAAATAACAGCAGGCCAATATATATGTGTTTCACACCTGTTTTTATTTGTAACTAGACACATGCTAGGTGTCGAGGTGCTATTTAAAGCTCGTGTAAATAACGTGGGTATGGTCTGTGTGTTAGTCAGGGCTGCTGTAGCTAACACTTCTTTTATTCTCAGGTCTGTGTGTGTGATAATACACAACTGCTCCGACACCTTCCTTCACACGTTTCAGTGAAGGTGCATAAGCTTGCTGACATACAAAAGTAACACTGAAAGAGTGCCTTTCAAAATAAAAGCCTGGCGGCTGCAGTTGTAACAGGTGTCGCCGTTGAACATTATCATTTAACTTGCAGACCAGACGGAGATAGCTGGAGAGGTAAATGTGCCCCGCGGGCCGCACGGCGCCCAGGTCTGCAGTATTAGGACGCAGCCTCCAGCACGATACGACGACCTGAACCGTAGCCTCCTCATCTGAGGAGAGAGAGAGAGAGAGAGAGTCAAAAATAAAAGTAATTTCCTCCATGTCCTTAACCTGTAATTGAAATGCCAGCAGGACGACAGTTGTCCGTTGACATCAGCACGCATTAAGAGAAGACGGTAATGGAGGAGAGGAGAACACCGTCTGAGGTCTCTCCTTTTTTTTTTTTTTTTTTTTTTCTCAAATTAGATTCATATTTTAGGGCTATCATGTTTCATTTTGCAGCAGAGATAGTGTCGAGCTCATATTTCACATTAATCACACGGTGTCGGGGCATCGCCCGGACATCTGTCATGCATATGTAATTACTAATCAGCCTTTTATCACAGCTACTGCTGCAAATTTCCTCCTGCTACGCTCGCAACGTAGCTCGTGCACGAGCATGTGTGTGTCTGTGAGTGAGTGTGTGTTTTTGATAACTCCAACTCCAATCAGTGAGGTTTTGTGACATGCAATTACTACCTCTAAAAAACAGTCAGAGTGACTGAGGCGAGGCCGAGTGCTCGACTCCCCACGTCAGATAATTTATGTTTTCCTGTTTCTTTAAATAACAACGATTTATGTTTTTGTGTCCAGCGAACGGATGTTTCTGCTCCCTGGGCTGAAACCTGAGCCCAGATTTGGTCCAAAAGACAAAATCCTTACAGTATTTTTGATACTCTGTGTGTGTGTTACTGTTACACACTGTAGGGGGAAATATTGAGTTACTGCGTCGCATTTATTTAGCAGTTACAGCTGCCTTTGTCCTGTGACTCATGAAAAACAGCTGGGCCTCGTTCATTCATGGTCGTGTTTCAGATGCCTGTGCGATGTTAACAGTCCAACCAAACAAACACGGTCCTCCTACTCAGACTTCACGGAACAGATGGTTTGGTTTAAATAACCGTCCAAGAAGAAAAATTAGAAATTGATTATGCCATTAGAAAAGCAAGAAAAATCAGAAAACTTTTGGCCGTCTTTCTTCGTCCAATCATCTGTAGACCTGATAGATTTACGGCTCAGTGGAGGGACGCGACCTCTGACTTTCTGTTTTCGTCACGTACCTGGTTTTGATACCACTTTTTACATGTAGTATGCTGATACTGCAAGTTGTAATATGTGCAAATACGACCTTTTTCCCCATTAACGTTATACTGCAAGTTGTAATATGTGCAAATATCACCTTTTTTCCCATTAACGTTGGAAGATACTGCAAGTTGTAATATGTGCAAATACCACATTTTTTCCCATTAACGTTAAATAATATAAAGATATGGGATAAATATTCTGCTCCTCCACTGGGAGGAATCAAATCTCACATTGACTCAGGTATGGCCGGTGGTTTCCAAACCTTTTCTGCAGCGCCCTCTACTGTAGAAAGAACTATTGTCAAGACTTTGTCCACTCATTCACAGCTGCAGTTTTCCCCACTCTGGGACAAGTAAAGAAAATATTAAAAATAAAACTTTTTTTTATTTTTGCCTTGCTGCGGTCCATCACTTCAGCTCCATGCCCCTCAGAGGGCAGCGCCCCCCATTTTTGAAGCTACTGAGTACTGAGAAACTATTGCATTCTTCAGTTCAGTTTAATTAAAAAAAACAACAACAAAACTTCACCGTCTCCAGGGGCCCATTAAATCTGTTATACTTGAACACATTCACACGTTAAAAATAGAAGATGAAGAATATTTCTGTACAACATACTGTAGTTTATTTTGGTGCCACTGGTGTAGGTTGAAGTAATGAGTGTAATGAGTGACACGCCTCCCTGGCAAACCCATACCTTCAGCTCTCTCTCTGTTCATACTTTTATAAATAACTCTCTGTTTGAAAAAAAAAAAAACCAACATCATAGTTTCCCTCTGTAACTCAATCCTTTTCTTCCTGTTTTCACTGCACTCCTCTCAGTGGCGCCCCCAAAGGGTGGCCAGGGCCTCTCCTGTAAAAAATGCTGCCTGCACTGGCCACCCCCTGGGGGGAGGGGGGGGGGGCATCTGGCCCCCTGCTTTGTCCCTTGACCTTTGACTGAGCTGCTGACTGGGACATGTTGTCATTTGATTGGAAAGGAGTCAAAGACACAGGACGAACTGCGTGTATTTATTTATTTATTTATTTGTGTATTTATCAGAAAGGACAGTAGGTGGAACTTAAACATCAACATGGTGATTACTACTAAATACACTAAATATCAATTCACAAAGCAAATTTTTTGAAGTAAACACATTATTTGACTACTACTACTACTAATAATAATAATAATATTAAAAATAAAATAAAATAATATTTTTTATAGTACCCTGTCCAATAATAGCTCCAGGTGGGAACATCTAATCTAATCTAATCTAATCTAATCTAATCTAATCTAATCTAATCTAATGCAATACAATCAGTCCACTTTATATATCATAGTACCACCTTATACAACATTATATATATCAATCAGTCCACCTTATATATAATCATAATTATAATTAATCGTGATCATAATTGATCACGATTAATCGCGATTAATCAACATTCCCATATGTAACGAAATACTCCTTATTTTTTTCTGTGTACTGCTGGAACAGAGAGACAAATACCTCCAAGTAAATGTCTGTGTTTACACGTGTTTTGATTCGTGACTAACCCAGAAGACGGGATTTTAGATGTAGAAAAACGTCTAGAAAATTCTACACCCAACTTTAATTCATAAAAAAAATCGTAGCTCCACAGAGTTGGTGGATTCCAGTCAGGTGTCGTCGACGGTCTGTGTGACGTGCGGCTCCTTCAGACTTCACTCTTCTTCAGAGTTGTGTCTGTTAACAGTGGAGAGGTGATCAACTCCGTTCAACTCCGTTCAACTCCGTTCAACTCCATCCATTCCTCGCAGTCTCCGGGCCAGGTTTTGATGCAGCGCCGCCACTTGCCCGAGCACTTGGATTGGCTGAAGGAGAAAGGTAGCCTGCAGAGACTCGGCTCCTTCCTTCCTCCAGCTCAGTCCAGTCAGTGAGAGTGTGAGCCTCGGTGCGCGCACACACGCGTTTGGTCTATACCCGGCTCACTCACTCTCCCCCTCTCTCTCTCTCTCTCTCTCCTTCTCTCTCCCTCTCTTTCTCTTACACACTCACACTGTCGCTTCCACGCGTGGAAGGTGCGGACCTACGGGAGGACTGTGATTTTTGGAGCGCCACTGATCGGAGCATGAATTTTCCTTCTTCAAGACATCGATGCGCACAGACCCGAGCGAGGCTTCCAGAGGGAAAGGCTGATCTTTAAATGCATCATTTTACCCGGCGCAGGGCGGCGCGCGCCCCTCTCAATTATTAAAACTGTCACAGTTCGTATGTTTGCGCCACAACAAAGCGTTGGATTTCTATTTCCCCGCAAAGCTGTTTGTTTACGCTGCCGTCGGAGAAGGTGAGGGGTTAAGATTGTTTCTTTAACGGCTGCTGCGCGAATCCAGCGAGCGTGTGTGAGCGCAATCTCCCCCCACCACCACCACCACCACCACCTCCCGTCCTCAGACTCGGACTCGGACTTGGGCTCAGAGCGGAGTTTTGACTCCTCATCATGGGCTCCGCTGCACGGACCGACAGAGAAGGAGCGCGGAGGAGATCTGCTCCAGAGATGCTGCTCAGCTTGTCCTGGATCTGCCTGCTCATCCTGCTGGACGTCGGACGGGCTCAAGGTAAACTTTAACTCCGTCTTCCTTGACCCGTGAACTTGGCCCCCGGGGGTTCGGTGGTGGAAGTTGTGCGAACTCCGGTGATTACCCGGCAGCTGGCTGTAGAGGGCAGGAGGAGGCTGCGAATATAAGTACATTTGAATATAGAACACTTGGAGTTGGAGCAGCGCTGTGGCTCAGCGGTTCGGTGAAGGTTGAATGTTGGCTCCAGTCTGTGGAGCGCATCGACACCCGGAGGCCAGAGCCGCGACAGCGCTGCCCGAGTAATGTCAGAGGGGAAAAAAATTAAACAGAAGAAGTCTAAATAAACATTCGTCCATAAATATAGATTGTTAATCACACCGAACCGCACAAAGGTATCGTTATCGGACGATCCACCGACATCACAGAGACATCGCAGTATTGATATTTTTTTATTTATTTAAAAAAATCAAGTCAAGTTGCTTTTTAGTTTTAGCATAGTTGCTTTTGTCTTAAGTATTTGACAGCTTTTCCTGCACAAAAACACATTTTAATTTTTTTTTTAAAAAAAACTTCAAGAGAATCATTTTCTTTGTCAATAAACTACATTAAAATCCATAAAAATATATATTTACTCCAAATACCTAGAAGATTTTCAGATGTGGGTGTGGATTGACTATATATTTACTCTTATATTTTTCAGCCAACGTTTCTCTCATTAACTGGCTCCGTACACTGACAATGAAAATCAAACCAACCATTGAATTCCAGTCCCTTGATCTGTCTTCATCAAATGTACGTAATAATACAAAGCAACATTCAGTCAAATAATCATGAACCGCTGACAGAGTCGTGTTGGAAAAAACCAACAACATCGAAGGGTTAAAGTTCAGGAAAACACATTTTCCCCTTCATTTTTTTTTTTTTACCAGTGAGTTCTGGTGTAATAGTCTTGAATTCAGCAGCATCAATCATCGAGCACATTCTCCAACCAAACCGTGTCTTCTTTTAGCCTTTTCGGGCCCTGTGGAGCAGAGCGCGGTCTCTGTGAAGCGTGGTTAGCGTCAGCTGTGGAGAGCAGAGAGGGAGACGGAGATAATGTCACCGCACCTGAAGCCATTTCTTTAATCTGCTCCTGACTGGGATTGTGTGTCAGACAGAGGGTGGGGGGGGGGGGGGGGGCTGTCTGTGTTGGGGATGGACGTTCCCGTATGTGTTTGTGCGTGTGTGTGTGACGCTGCCAAGGATGTTTGCTCCTGGTCTTAACGCTGGTGGTCTGTCTGGTCTTTCTGGAATGATGTGTGACTTTGAATAGGACACAGACGGAGGCAGAGGATGTCTAATGTTACCAAAGACTGAGGGGCCCCAACCCCCGGTCCAGGGACCAATGTCGGTCCGTAGGTCGTTTGGTACCGGGCCGCAGTGTGACACAGTGGAATGAAATGTACTTCAGTTTTGCTATTGTACTTCATTCCAAAAGAATCCAGTCATGTCCCTTCACTGTTTTCATTCAAAGATAATCTGTCGATGTTTCAAAACAACAGGGTCAAAGGTCATTCAGGCTTTGATACTGACAGAAGTAAATCTGAAAGAGGTTTGATTTGGAAAATTCAATGATCCTTCCACGATGGTGCGGTTTTACTGGTCCGCAGTACCGGCTGATACCGGCTGACCGGTCCTTGTGGTCGGGGACCGCTGGTCTACGTGGTTACACCCAGGGTATAGTTGTTTTTTTTTGGAATGTTAAGACTATGTTAGTCCATGCAAGAGCCTAAATTGTTGGTCCTAGACCGGGATGGTGGTCTGGGAGCAACCTAATCTGGCTGCTGCAGAGACCCTCCTCTTACTCCTGCATAGTTAATGAGCGAGTGAGGGCGAGGAAGGGTGGAAAAACAGCGCAGGTCCGGTTTCGGAAGGGAAGGGTGAGATGACATAATATCTTTTCCCAAAGCCCAGAGAGCCCCGTGTCATTGACTGGATGGGAATACGAACAAGGTCTTTCTCTGTCCATTAAGAGGTCGATACAGCAGAAGAACATTGTTTCAGGCTAATTAATGGGCTCTGCTATTTTTGGGCACCGATGAGTTCGACATGATCCCAAATGGCTGCAGAGTCACTTCTTCACTGCAGATTTACTCCTGCCTGAAGTGACTGGTCTGTGCAGTACTGTGTGTAGTATTCGGCCCTGCTGTCAGTCCGTTGTATTTTCCATGTTTTTTTTTTATATTTATATATATATATATGTATGTATGTTTTCTGCTTGCTGCTGGTCGAAGTTATTTTCACTCCCTCAGGCTTTGGGGAGAACTGGCTCCCGAGCCGTCTTCCACTCAGAAGTGAGCGGTGGGAAATGAGCGTGCTCATTAACCTGCTGACCCCTTGACAAAGGAGACAGGTTGAGACAGATTTAAGCCAGGAGCCGACAGAAGTGGCTGAGAGGCCCCTGACAGACGCTTGATTGGAAACCTTTGGTTGGTTTCCAGCACAACAGAAGAGCCGTAACGTGCGAGCGGTGTCCGTGGCTACGTGCTACGTTTTGTCGGATCATATAAAGCCTGTTTGATACGAGGCAGAGTGGACCAAAAGGTCAGCTTTCAACCAATCACGTACAGCTTTTCAAATAAAAAACCTTTTTTTTTTTTTTTTTTTTACAACCTTTACCATACCATCCTTTACAATACTAACTGTTGTCATTTTGCCTGTGAATTCTTTTTTTGCAGTGTAAATGACTTGGGCTGCTCTACAATCACTAGTCTTCGTTGTCTGATTGTGAACCAAACTTGTGTAACTTGTAAAAAATCGAGGCTGGCTTGGTCCACAGTTTTTCTGTCTGCAACATCGGAGCCCTTGGTGGATGCTCATTTTATTGAGTTTATATTCTGTAAAAAAAAATCTAACACCTTCTAGCTACTCTGCTATATGTGGAATCTCCCAACATGTCCGCCCTGTGACAGTACAGTGTAGTAAATAGTATTTGTCTGTGAAAACACATAAAAACCATATATGATAAATTAAACAGTGTATATATGAGTTGACTGCGTTCTCAGGAAGTGAACAAACTTTGTATTTCGGAGGAGGATGTTAAGCCCTGGGGATTGTTTCGTACACTCTCTCTGTTAAAGGAAAACAGAGGTAAAGATTTTTACTGGATATTCTCATGTTCTGAAGAGACAGACGGTAAAGAAGAACCTGAGTGGGTGGAGAAGAACTGTAAGGATTTTTTTTTTATTCATGAGGGAAAATTTACAATATCTTTATTGATTTCACATATAATTTCTGCCTCAGTGGAAAAACTGAAGCAGTGTTTTCTACAAATTGAGGCGTGTGCTGTTCTATGGAAGTACTCCTCATATCACTGCGCAGTACTGTACTGTATATGCACTATATGTGAACAGGGGACGTGTCTTTCTTCGATGATTGACCCAGTTAATTCATTAACCTGGATGTTGGTCTTACAGTGTGTCTTTTTGTCAGGCGGTGGATTTTCCTCATAAACTCCGGCCCATGGGTGCTAACATTCCTGGGGTTAGGGTTGAGATTTCCACAGAGCTGCTTTCATTTCTTTGTTTCCTTCCTTTCTACTCTCTCACCGTCGACTTGTCTCTGCGGTTTTGATTTGTGATCCACAATTGTCCTAAAATTGAACGGGGGGGGGGGGGGGGGGGGGCGGGGGGAAAGAAAAAGATGAAGTATCTTAATATAAATTTGTGCCGTTTCTGAAGTATGGTGACCCCGGTGGAGACACAGGGAAACGTTGTGCGAACAAATCTCCTTCACACAGATCCGAGTGTTGCTTTATGGGTGCAGGTAAATGTGAATGTTATTTCTATCATAACCGGCCTGACGACGGGCTCCTCCGGGGGCCACTAATTTTACAGCCGATGCAGTAGTTCTGTAAACGGGGGGGTCGGTGGTGGTGGGGGGGGGGGGGCATATGCACAATGAGCACATTGTGTATAAGGAGTATTTCTTAGGGAACTGCCTCCTGTGATAGCGTTTTGCCACAGCTTATGAGCTTATGAGAACCTCACAGTTTATGTACTAGTGAAGAAGAATTGCTTTTGGCTTCTGCCTTTCCTGAGGGGCTCCTACAGCGGAAACCCCCGGTGATTTACCATAGAGCCTTTATATGAAATGGATGTAGCTACGTTGTTATGTCCTGCCATAAGAAAATTCTACTTGTTTTGGGAAATAGGATATTTTATAAATATATATATGTGCATTTGTACATATGTGCACACACATAAATATTTATGTTCATATATATATACATATACATATTTATGTGTGTATATATATATATACACACAAATAATTATATGTGTGTACAATAATACACATAAATACAAATATATATTAACATATATATCTACATATATGTGTGTATATGCATCTATATATACAGTGTGTATAGTTTTACATATCTGTTTTTATATTTAAATATATTTATATATATTTACATATTCACTGTATATATTTCTGCAAATATATGTGAATGTATGTGCATATATGTATATTTGTATGGATATTTGTTTTCAATCTTTTTTTTTTCAATAGAATCTACTATTAGAGTACATTTATACACTTATTACATTATGTCAATAACATATATTGTAAAATAGATAAAAGTCCAACAAGAGGCCACATCCAGTTATGGTATGTGTTCTATGTATTTGGTCTACACTCAATTTGGTATAGACTCAACTCACAGTACTAACAGTTTGTACTTTTATGGAATTATGAATCATTAACAAATCCCCGACGGTGTAGGTGAAGGCAGAGGGCAAAAGTAGACGGTGTGGAATCTGGACAGTCTGTTCCGACA